GTAGGAGGCAGGCAAATTATATCGTGCACCGCGGTGCATAATCGATTATACACCGCGCATAAAAAAAATAACTCTGTTCTTCAGTTTCATTTTGTATACACAACAGTTTCAGTTCAACACAACTACAGTTTCATTTCGATATAAGTACAGTTTCATTCAATATTTATACACTCAAATATGTAAAAATGTTATTTAATTTTATTTTATATACACTATAGTTTCATTAAAACACAACTACATGACCATTTTGATATAATTACAGTTTCATTGTACAATATACACTCAAATATGTGAAATGTTATTCAGTTTCATTTTATATATACTACAATTTCATTTCACCACAACTACAGTATCATTTTGATACAACTGCAGTTTCATTTGTTAATTTAAAAATAATACGTGAGACAGTGTACGTTTAGATACACTGTAGTGTCACTCCGTTAACACTACGCGGTGCATAATCGATTATGCACCGCAGTCCACGATATAACGACCCTTTTAAGCACGTACCATACTCAGACTAGTCCCCATTCACACCAGGCCGGCCCAATTAAGGGGAAAAGTGCTTGCTAGATTGATTTTCCATACGAGAGGATGTTCGAACTCCTAACCTCTCTTAAAAGATGAAAATGCATGGCCACTCACGCCAACCAAACTTGTTACCTCCTTTATTAGAAGTCAAAGAAATGGGGATGTGAAAAATGGTTAGTGCCATCTAATGTTGTGCCAAACATGTATAGTAGTTAGAAATGTATATATTATTCATCATCTCCATTTATTTCCGGTGCCATTAGTCAACAAATATTAATTAATACCTAAAGTAATCTCTATAACATCATAGCTAGCTAGCTTGGACCAACCTACAAATTAAAGTCGTTAATTTGGACCATAATTAAGTTACCCATGTGTGTTTTTCCAAGTTTTACAGCTTATTACGCCAATTCAATTAATAATGTTTTATGCGGGGCTGGTTGATCAGGAGAAAGTTAAAAAAAAAAAAACAAACAAACAAACAAACAAACCAAAAAAAACAAAAAAAAAAAAAAACAAAAAAACCAAAAAAAAAAACAAAAAAACAAAAAAAACTCTATACCATATGAGTTAACATAAATTTTTATAATCTAATTTTAAATTCAATACATGAGTAAAAAGATACTAATGTCAACTAATTTAAAATAAAATTCAAAAATTTTAATTAGATTGTTCAAGTTTATTTACGCGTAGTATATATCTCCAAATTCTCATCAGACGGTCATACTATTTTAATAAATTTATCTATAACTCTTCTTTGTGATTCTATTAATTGCTCAACTTTTTTTTTAACTTCTAGGCAAATGTTTTTTAGCCAACATTTTATTAAAAAATTATTATAAAATTGGTCTTAAAAAAAAAAAAAAAAAAAAAAAAAAAAAAAAAAAAAACATGTAGGAGATACAAACTAAATTGTGGAGTGCTTAAGTGATATTAATCTTCAAATAATAAACTTAATAAATTTACAATTTCATTATACACAAGTAATCCTAAATCCTAAATAAAATTAAAAAGCAAATAGGATTCCTAGCTAATTCCTAATTTCCTACTGCATGCAGTATACATTATACATAAATACATAATACATTTATACATCATCATACATTGTTGTAGAAACAATTAACAAAGATTAATAAGATGACCAATTACCAAAGAAAAGGTATTTGAGATTTTGAGTTCGTTAACACTAGTTTGCATAATTGCACTTTACAGAAACAAAGAAACAGTAGAGTACCTTAATTAGTATCTGTGTTTTTGCTTATATTTTGTACTGTGGTTCCTCGCTGACAATATAAGTATATATACAAGCCGTCATCGACAAGACGACAATACAAGCACCAAAGCAACTATACAAGAAAGGAGATTACTAAGTGTAGATTGCCGATTGCATATTACGGTTTGCTTTTGAGGTTTTTGAAATTTTAATGCTTTCATTTTTAACCGTTGAAAACTAAGAAGCATTTCAGGAGTGACTCCTGCGGTCCGGGATCTTGGCTCGGTAGCGTACGTGGGTGCGAGACGGGTTCTGTGCCTTCGTCTCTTCGACTTCAGAGTTCAGAAAGAAACGCGATGCTCTTTTATATATATATACTAGTTTTTTACGCGCATTGCGCTATTGGGATAATGCCCAATATTTTTTTTAAATAAGTACTTTAAAGTATATTAAGGCAAGATTATATTGAAATTGTTCATGAATAGATAATTATAGGTTGAATTTGCATATTTAAATAGGTAATTCTTCTCCCAAAGGTTGAGTCCCCAACCCCAAGGCCCCCCACACTCCGACCCGACAGAGCATTGTGGGAAGTTGTAAATCACGGTGACTCAATGGTTCAGCAGACAGGGCCAAATGCTAATACGCACAAGGAATCTGTCCACTTTGAACATAATTCCCGCATTGCCGCCGCCGAGGTTCAAACCTTGGTCTCTTCTCCCAAATACTACCCACTAAACCATTGAGCTAAGCCCGTGCGGGTTAAATAGGTAATTCTAAGTTAAAAATGCAAGATAATATAGTCAATATTGATTATAATTGTCAATAAAATAATTGTATAGGTATGGTTGAAATCAAATACGGGACATGCATAAGGGAGAACAAATAAAAATTAGGGTATAAAATATTAAATATATACTAATATTGTTTGAGGAGATTCCGACATTAAGATTTGTGGTTAAGTTCTATTAAGACTTTTTTATTAGAATTAGATTAATAGTGTAGTTATAATTCTATATTAGACTTTAATATTATAATTAGACTAACGGTGAATTAACGAAAAAGTTAAATGGATAATCATATAATTAAGGATAAATTAGAAAATCTTAAAAGAAAAAAATTAAAACCTGAACAATATGAACCATTCATTTGATTTAATAATTTGGCGGTCATTTTTTCTACCCAATGTTAATAATTAAATAAGGTCAAATCAGCTAGTATAATCCGCTAACGCTAACCGCTAACTGCTAATTGTCAAACAAGGACATTGCGAGGTAGTTCTCACTTCAATTTGTTGTGTGATTTGAATACTCTCTTTGTCACAAAATCTCTCAAGTAGTTAATATGGTTGGCTTTATTAATTATATTTTTTAAATTTTTTCATGGTATTAATAAAATACTTGGTAAATAAATATATAGCATTATTTTATGTTATAACTTTGATATTTAATTAGAAAAATAGTGCACAAAAAAGATAATAGATAATGTAGTGAATATAACCAATTGATGAATTTGAATGTAAAAATTTTTACATTTGAGAAAAATAAAGACAATATAACTAATGAAAATATTTCTTTTAATTAATTTACTGATAATTAATAATTTGTTTTTCACTGAATAAAGACATTGTAAGGACAATGTAGCGAATATAATCAATTAATAAATTTGAATATAAATAATTTTTATATTCAAGAAAAATAAAGACAATATAACTAATAAAATTATTTATCTTATTTAATTTATTGATAATGAATAATTTTTTTTTTGAATAAAGACATTGTGGACACATAATTCTAAATTAAAGAAATGCATATGTATTATTTTTTGTTGTAACTACTAAATTATTATTTATATATAATTTAATAAGAGTAAAATAGAGTACTAATTATGCCAACTTTGATTGGGATGAGGTTCGAACCTAAGACCTTTATAAGTTAACGGTGAACTAACGGCAATTCTTAAAATTTTAACGGAATTAGTAACGGTGTGTGGGTATTTTAGGAAATTTTAGTGTAAAATTTAAATCTGATCAATCTTTTAATAAATCTGAGCCATTCATTTGATTAAAATTTGTGACCGCCATTTTTTCTACCCATTATAGGCCTAACTCTCTTGGGCTCTTATTAGTATAGTAGATATAGAGAGAGAGGAAGGTGATCATATGAGAACAAGTTCATATGAGAAAATTAAAAATCAATTACAACCTTTATATCTATAAAAATGGCAAGATTCTAATGAAATTTTAAAAAATCCTGTTGTATTTTTATAATTATCGTGCAACTTTTAAAAATATACAGTGCACTTATTAAGATTATTCAAAATTGCACATCATATTGTTAAAAAGTGCACTCCATAGTATTAAAAATTGCACTTCATAGAATGCTAAAGTGCGTGTAAGTTTGAATTTTAGAACTTATGACTTAGTTTTTTGGTTTTATGTTTGGTGGTTTAAAGCTTCAATTTTTACTGGTTAGGGTTTAGTATTTACGATTTAGGTTTAAAATTTAATGTTTTCATTAATATTTTAAAAGGTTATCTAGAAATGCATTGTCTATTGTTAAATGTGCATTGTATTGCGATAAAAGTTGACCAATAAAATTGACGATAATTACAATATATTCAATGCATTTTTTAAAAAAGTTGGTAATAATTACAATTATGTCACCCCTTTTTTAAAAAATTTTATATGATTCTCATACATATGAAAATCATGCCTTATTAGGTGAAAATTTGTGAACTACTGAATGAGTACACACAATCTACTCTCAAGCATGCCTAGACTTGGTAAAGTCGAAAAACCTATAATTAAAAATTGTGTCCAGCTTTGTCACAAGAAACAATCTTGGAATGACTTTGTACTAAGGAGATAATGCAAACTTTCACCTGTCGTGAAGAAGAGTGGAGTAGACTTCATTAATAGCTGAACCACTATAAAAACTCTCTCTTTAGTTATTTACGCACTGCAATCATACTTCACATATTCAAACCCCAATCTTTATCTATCAAATCGACGTGCAAACATTCCTTTAAAAGGTTAACTTAATTCCACTGTGCATATAAACTCGGAGCGAGTTGTTAAGTTCTCACACTTAACGATTCGTAAAGATTTTCTAAAATCTAACAAATTATTCACCCCCTCTAGATTCGTTCCTCAACCCTTCGGGACCAACATCAACTGTTGCTTTTCAGTAATTCTTTAATCTATAGGGATCAACGTTATTAAATACAAAAGACTTAATTTAAAAATTATTTAAAATAAATAAGCGAAGAAAAAATAATTGGTTATACTTGGTTTCAATTTTGCAGAAGCAGTTTTTGTTTTTAAAAAAAAAAATAGAGAATATTCAAGCTTTTGAATCGGATCACAGGAATATAGGATTCTATCAAATTCTAATGTAATTTATAATGATTGTTGTCCTGAGTCAACATATTAGCTGATTCATTATTATAGATTCATGTGAACTATGAACACAAAGCTTGTCATGTGATGGTAATAAACATTAAGAAAGCTCACATGCCATAGCCATAGCTAGCTCATACTGTCATACACTCATACCATGCTTATTTTACCTTAAAGAAAATTTTATTTTTTTCTTTTCTTAGTATCCAACAATCAGAAATGGCAGTGAAATCAAGTGTATGTTACATACCAGACGATGGAATTTTTCCGATCAAAAGCCGCAATTCTGTTGTCCATCTCTGGTGCAAAAATTCATCTCCTTTAAAATCATGCACATCAGATATTCTGAACACTATCAAAACCCGGTGGCGGCAGTCGAGTATCAAAACTCGGCTGAGCCAGGTGTCCTAGGGAAAGGTATTGCATCCCGAATATTATCTATTCCCGTCGCAAACTGCACAAGCCTCTCAAAGCCTAGTCCAAATCCAGCGTGAGGAACTGGCACGTGAAGCAGATGACTTACCATTAACAAAATGACACAGACAAGTATTGGTGTAATTGTTCGGTTAGTATGATAAGATAGTGGTAATGTTAAAAAGGTTGGGGAGAGACTAGAGAGTAAAACCTGAGCCATAGCGCCGTAGATCGAGATACCACCAGTAGCTTTCTTTATTCAGATTTAAGTCATCTAAGCGTTTTTCCAGATACTCAAGGCGTTCCTCTCTCTGGCTTCCACCGATAAGTTCACCCACCTGAAACGAAGCAGTCAATAGAATAAAGTAATACCAATTATAAGCGCGCACACAATATGGATACCAATTATAATATACAGCATACCCGAGGAACCAACATATCCATTGCTGCAACAGTCTTTCCATCATCATTCTCCCGCATGTAAAATGCCTTAATATCCTGCAGTTTTCATGGGAAGATCTTCAATGAACGTTATCCGGCAGCACTTCATAATTTAGATAGTAAATGTAATATACTAATATCACTTCAAATTAATGCCTTTGGATAATCTCTTATTATGACAGGGCATCCACCAAAAGCTTCCTCAGTTATATAACGTTCATGCTCACTTTGCAAATCACATCCCCAGTTAACCTACAAAATGCACCAAAACACCCTCAATAAGCATACTAGTACTAGATTAGGAAACAAAGTTGTAGAACCTTAGCAACTCATAATCAGTTGGGCGTGAATAATCACATCGAACATATATTTAGGGTAATTGTTAGATCATACTTTTACATTAATGATGCACAGAGATTTCCAGAAGCAGATTAGTAAGAACCCCAAAATTAGAATAGAGTATTCAGATGCAATCTGTCCTTGTAAGCATATAACCATTAATGTGCAATCCAACTATCAGCTTAAGCTTTTAGTTGGGATGGAGCACATGCTTCAATTTGGTATCAGAGCCAGACCAAAGGTCTCTACGTCACCCGATAAGCGACTACGGTCCACGTGTTGCTTGGAACCCACCGCACACGTAAGGGGGCATGTGAGCATATAACCATTAATGTGTAATCCAACTATCAACTTAAGCTTTTAGTTGAGATGGAACACATGCTTCAATTGTGATCCACGTGTTGCTTGGAACCCACCGCACACGTGAGGGGGCGTGTGAGCATATAACCATTAATGTACAATCCAACTATCAACTTAAGCTTTTAGTTGAGATGGAGCACATGCTTCAATTGTCCTCACAACTGAGGTTATAATATCAATTCCCATTCAAAAGATATGCAGGGGATACACAATGAAGTGACAAAGTGAAGATGCTTACTGGGAATTCAAACTTCTTTTTTGTTTTCAACAGTAGTTCAATTGCATCAGTATAAGTCAACTGCACAACTTTTTTCTCAACAACATCCTGTTGGCCACACAATTGAAAGAAAAATCACTTGGGGTGTATGTAAATATTAAATATATCAGCAACATTACGGAGAAAATGTTGAAAGAATGCAAAAGGATACAGGGCTCAATTGTAAACAATGTGTAGACAAATTAATACTAATGGTTGAGAAGGCTAAAACTCATACACTTAATCGCTTGATGATTCCTTTCTCAATCCAAGTATTGAAGAATTCCATGTCTTCTTTGCAATTATCCAGAATATATTGTACCTTTCATGAATAATAATATATTAATAGAAATAAAGTTCAGAAAGGAGAAATTTATGTTAATATATACAGAGGAAATTACAACTAAACACAAAGCTGGGATGTAAGAAACCATCTTGTTTAACACATAATAGAAGGAAGCAATAGATCTGAATAGTGACATACTACGTACTGGAGATAGGCAGCTGCACAGGACATGTCATCTTCTAAATCAGCAAATGCAAGTTCTGGTTCAATCATCTTGTACAATAATATATAGGTGTTAGCTTTTTGAAGAAACAATCTCCAAACTGAAAAAGAAATTATACAAGCATTAACTAAAATTAGGTTTGAACTGTATACCCAAAATTCTGCCAAGTGTCTGGAAGTGTTAGAATTTTCTGCTCTGAATGTAGGACCAAATGTGTAGACCTGTGCACAAACCAAACAATTCCATGAAACTTTAAATGTAAAACAAATGACAAGATTGAAACAGATACGGATACTCAAAGAGCTATTAAACCACAAGAAAAAACAAAACAAAACAAAACAAAAAAAAAAAACAAAACAAAACAAAACAAAACAAAAAAAAAAAAAAAAAAAAAAAAAAAAAAAAAAAAAACTAAACTAAACTAAACCAAACAAAAAATCTAAAAAAACAAAAACAAAAACAAATAAAGAATAGATAAGAGAATATACATCATTGAGGGCAGTAGCATATGTTTCAGCATTGAGTTGTCCAGAAACTGTTAAGAAGGCTGGTTTCCCAAAAAAGTCCTGTAATATAAAGATGCAAAGCTATTTTACTAAAAGCATATTTCAAGATAAAAATCTACTACTAACAAAATCCAACTGGCCTTTCAACTTTATAGAGGAAGGGGTAATGGAATCAAAATTCACTTGCAATTCTTATACTTACTTGAGACCAGTCAATAGAACCAGATACAGTTTTTGGGATTTCGTTCACTGGAGAATTTGCAGGTTCTTTGGAGTTTGGAATCTGTTAGGGAAACAAGCCCTTACATGAGCATTAATACATACATCATCAAAAGATCAAACACAGCAGACCAAAAAAGATTTAAAAGAGAGAAATTATGTAGGGTTATGATCAGAAAAATAAAATCTTCCTCAAGAGCAAAAATATAGTAAATTGAGAAATCACGTACCAAGGTTGTCACACAAAATTGTTCGCCAGCACCTTCACAATCAGAGGCAGTGACAATAGGACTTGAGACCCAAACAAAACCATTTTCTTGGAAAAACTTGTGTGTAGCAAAGGCCAAAGCGTTCCTCACCCTTGCAACCTAAGAAACAACTCAGAAATTAAGATTGCAAATTGGTGAACCTAAAGGTCAAAAAAGGCAAGCATACATGAATATGAATATAACTATATAAGTGAAGTTTGCCAGACCTTGAAGGCTATATCAAATATTCAAATATAAACATGTGTAGAGCTTTAGCCAGGTATGGCATGCACAATTTTAAGTACTAGTATCACTACATTTTGAGCCCTTTAGCTAAAGCAAGCATTGGATCATTTATGGAGCCTTAATCATGATGCATAAAAAACTTGAAATAAAACACAGGTACAATGCAAGAATCAAGTCATACCGCACCAAAAGTATTTGTTCTAGGACGAAGATGTGCTTTGGTTCTCAAAAATTCTCTGCTGACTCGCTTCTTCTGAATTGGGAAGGAAGGATCACTTTTACCAACCTGAAAAGTTATCAGGAAAAGCAAAGTCATGAAGAACTAAAAAAGCCAATGACAACAAAAATATGAGCATTGAAGAAGATAATGATGGATCAAGGTTATCAAGGCGGACTTTCTAGGCGAGATGCCACCAACTGCCTAGTCGACTAGTCGACTAGGCGACCGCCTAGGCGATGACTAGGCGATGAGTATTAAATAAATAAAATATATAAAATATATACATATATATTGAAAATATCTTGTCTTGGGCAGCCTATTTACTTCAAGTTGCCTTTAGTAGATGAATAGTTTTTCCTAGAATAATGAGAAGTTTAGTATTTATTGTATATATTGGAAATATCTTGTCTTGGGAAGCCTTTTTGAACCCTATTTACTTCAAGTCATCTTTGAGAAGATGAATAGTTTTTCCTAGAGTAGTGAGAAGTTAGTATTTATTGATAACATGTCAGGGTGAGGTAGTGGGCTTTGCTCAGAACAGGAGGACGACGCCGGAGCTCGAACCGCGCCGCCATCGGAGCCTCCACGCGCCGCCGCCGTGCCGCTGCTCCGACGCCACGCGCCGCCGCGTGAGGCAGATTCCGGCGTCTTCTCCGGCTGAAAATTACACCGGTCAACTCGCCTTAGTGTGTAGGTTCTGCCCATGTATGTTTTGTGGGGTTTTGGGTTGTATTTTGCACTTAGGCGAGGCGAGCGGTCTAGGCGCAAGGCTGTGACCGCCCAGACGCCTAGGCGACGCCTAGATAACCCTGTGATGGATATAAAGCATGGTACCAACTCGATCCTTAGAATACAAAGTACCAGATTACTAGATTAGCCAACATTGCATATTGGCCAATAAAAATGAAGCTGCATACTTCCTAGTTCAATACTTCTATACAATTTCTTCAAATTCTTCTATCAGTAAAAATGACTACCTACCCCATCTCATCACTCAAAAGAATCCTTGAAGTACATTAGGACTTTGTTCAGAATTTGTATGCATGGAATGGATAAATCTTTGAGTTCTAATGATTTAATCTTTAATTCTTCAGATAAGATATTAAGATATGATTTTAGTTTTTGCATGACTACTGTCTTGATATGTATTTTTTTAGTAGAATGCTACACCACATAAAACTTTGTACTCCACAGGACATGAGTTAATATGCTGAGGACGCCTGTTACCTTGGAATTTAGAAACCAAAAGATAATTGGAAGCCCCGCTTCATGCATTGTGTTCTCCCATCTTCTTTGCATGTTTTGGAATCTGTTCTAGCAATTTTACTAAACGTACGTCATTGAAAAATGTTCTTTCTAGAGCACCTTATCTCTTTTGTAATGCTTCCTCTTTGCATGTGTTCAGATTTTAGATAAAATGTTGATCATGTATTCCTTTTTCTACTATGGAATTTACTTCCCATCATTTAAAAGTCAGTAAAAAGCATGTCTGAAAATAAAATGAAAAATAGCACACCGACACATATGGTCAGAACTAGCATTGTCAAATGAGATGAAAGTAACTAACATTTGGAGCCAAAATCAGAAGACAATTATTGTATAAATTTTCTACATTTAAGGAGAGCAAGAATGAATCGATTACCAGTATGAGCTTCTCAACTTTCAGTTCTATTTTCTGTTTTGATCCTTGGCTGCTCGCTATAGTGCCTTGTATCCATACTGATGCTCCAGTTACAATCAGACCATTCTCCACCTATTAAGCAACACCAATGCTTAGGGTGACTGAATAACAAAAATTGAAACCTTCTGACATAGTAAAGGAAAAGAAATAGATTATATATATATATATATATATATATATATATATATATATATATATATATATATATATATATATATATATATATATAATATTGATTTACAAGGCAAATAAAGTGTGCTAAAGAAAATTCTTATCCAAAATATTCCTAAGATTATTCCACTATCTCTAAAGCTCAAAACTTTATGTTTAATTCAGCTATCAGTTACCTTCAAAAGGAAAATGAAGATCCAGTAAAAATTTGAAAATAAGCATACATAAAGAGCAATTGAAGTGAAAGACCTCATGGCCTAAAGAGCATCTGCCTGTGACTCTAGGTAGGAAGTTGCATGTTCAATCCCCAACCCCCTAAAAAGTACCCACAAAAAAAATTAAAGAAATAAAGTGCAGTTGAAAACTCACTACCTTTTATCATTTTCCAATTAGGGAAAATGTTCCATGAAATATTCAAAGGGAAAGAGGCATGCTTTACCAATTATTATTCATTACAGGAAATTCTTTTAGTTTTGTAAAATCGCAGAAAACCAAAAGTTTCCAGAGACACTAAATCCTGCAGGCAGAGCGCATAATTGAATCAGGAAAAGGACATGATATCTTTAATCTTTAAAGGATAAGAAGGCCAAATTCCTGCATTTCTTTAATGCCTTTTCCCCATTTTAACTCTGATGAAAGTATGAAACTCAGAAACAAAGTTTTGAAGGGCAGGGGTTAACTTATGAAAATAATTAAAGAAAAAAATTACCTTCTCTATAATTTATTCATTTGCTACTGACAGACCAAAGAAGTAACATTTTCAATAAGATTATGCACACAGCCTACAACTATAATGTTACTCTAAAATCGCACTTTCAAAATCCAATTGTCTCATCTCATCTCCCCCCGTTTAGACCCAGAACTCTTTAAATCTCCTTATTCTCAAGGAACCAAAGAAAATATGAATATTGCATTCTTACTACCTGATCATAACCCTCGGCATCCTGGCTCATAACACATTGCATATTCGAAAGACAGGACCCATCATTAACCTGCACAAAGCAAATAAGCAATAACGCAAACTTCAATTTCCAATGGCAGAGGGGAAAAAAAAAAAAAAAAAAAAAAGCATTAAAGTTGAAAACTAACAGAGCATCATTTGCAAAATGAAGTCCGTCTCAGTATAATATATGAATACCTCTATAAATGTAACGCTGCTCTGTGCTCGCAAAGTCCGAACCCAACCTCGAACCACTAAAGTCTCACCCAATCGATCCAACCCCTCATTAGGCCCTCCTTTTATGTCTGCGATTCTCAATCTTCTCCGGAATTCCCCGATTTTCCTGCTTTCTTCAACTTCCTTTGTCCCAAAGTCGCCTGATAAAGGCCTTTCCACAGCTTCGCCAGACGAAACAGCGGAGCAAACTACAGAGCAGAAGCTGCGGCTGCGGCGGCAGACGGAATATGATGGTATGGAATGTGTTGGAGGCTTCGGCAAGAAGCAGGGGTAGCTATTGGGGACTGCCGTGGTTTTGGTGGTTTTGTGGTAGAGAGAGAGGAGGCGGACGGCAGAGAAGGGTTTTAGGCGGAGGGAAGTGGTGGCTGGCGACAAAGCCGCGGCCGCCATTTCAGTGTGAACACGTTTGTGCTGTTAAGACCACTGGCAGTGGCTTATAGGATTAGAGCTCCGAATCTCCAAATATTTGGCCGGAAGCCATGGGCAAAAAGTAAATAAATTTTGGTGAAATATAAGCGGCCTAAAAATTGGCATAAAGAAAATTTTCGTTCTTGGTTTGTTTGATTTTCTCAAACTCGAGATTAGAGGCTGATTGTAGTTCACGTTAATTAAATTTGTAAGAGCATCAATATCAATTATTGCATCTACCTTTTTTTTTTTTTGAATGCTACTCGCCCTATTACATTGTAGTATCTGTATAATGTCTGTATAATGCCTCCACTAAGGTTCGATCTCATGACCTCCAACATAAGAGAGGTCACATTAGCACAAGGTGCTTGGCACAAAAATGTAAATTATAACGTTTTAAAATTAAAAATTAAGTTACAAATTATGAAGACAAGTGGATACATATTTAATTTATTTTTTTTTAAATAACCTTTGCCAACAACGACCAAAAATGTGGCCGTTGCTGGCAACGGATATAAGAGCAACGGCCAGAATTTAATTAAATTGAGAGTGGCCACCAGCCGGTGGCCACTCTCAATCGCCCAGGCGGGCGCGTGTGATGTGGGCAGTGAGACGCAGTTGCGTCTCACTGCCTTCTTTCTTCTGTTTTTTTTTTCTTTTTTAAATTTTTCTGACATTCTTCCACTCTTTGCAGGGCAATTATTTTTCAAATAACTCCTACCCATATCAGTTATTATTTTGGGCTTGAGAGATTCACTGTACCAAGAACTCCAAATTATGCTCTAGTGTGGATGCTCTAAGAAAACAATTTCAAGGAATGTATTTTTTTAGTACTAGTGACTCTGTTACAATGTAGTATCTGTTCATAACTACTTTCTCAACTTACTAAAGCACAAAGAGCCAATAGTCCTGTGACACCCCGTAAATCTAAACTTTAATCAAGGATTAATTAGAGAATTAATCCTAGTCTCTTTGTTAATTTATTCCTAAAAATCCTGAAATTCAATAGTCGAGGGACTAGATTTTGACTAGTCACTTAAGTCAAAGGGTTGTACCTTGTGCTTCTTGATCTGTGTCATTGTTTCCTTGTCTTTCCAACTTTAGTAAGGGTAGGGATGTCTTTCTACCTAAGGTTTGTGATTCAAGCTAACCTAGCAACACCCTTTCATTTCATTCACCCTACAATCTAGACACAAAAATCTCTAGCCTCTCTCTAAAAAGAGTTAGCTTTTTCTCCAAGCTAGGATTTGGGTATCCCAAATCTTGCAAGTTGTCTCCCAAGATTCCTACTTTCTTCCTCTTGAAAATAGGGGATGGTAAGATCCTTGGTCTTTTGGTGTTTTTAACTTCCTTCTAGGTGTCTTTTTCTAAAGATAGAATCTTTGTTGTCTTTTGGTTTATGTATGAAGTTAGTGTGGAAGAGGAGCTTTAGGAAAGGCTTTCTAAGGGTGAAAAGAAGCAGTTATTAGGCTACAAAGGTAACCCATGCTTTACAAAACCTATTTTCTTACTTATATGATGATTCTAGGCTTCTACTTGTGATTCTTGTGTTGATTTGTGAGATTTGATGCATGATCTTGTGGTGATGCATGTCTAGAGCTTGTTCTTAGGTTTATTGAATGTCATTTCTTGGCTATTTCTTGGGTTCAAGTCATATTGTTGTTGTGTGTGAGATTTTGGGTGTTTTGGACTTGAATTTGGACTTGTTATTGAAAATCCCCGAAGGGATGTTTTGGTGTACAGGGTGGTACCCGCGGGCGGAACGGCGGGCAGGGCCCTACCCGCCGCCCCACTCGCGAGGTACGTGGTTCATCGTGGGCATGTACCCGCGGGCGGAGCTGCGGGTGGTTGTCCACCTGTGGCCCCACCAGCGGGGAACGTCTATGGATGTTGGCGAGGGTTTGTTCCCCGTGATTCTTTTGACTCGGTATTGATGTTTTGACCTCCCAATGTTGTTTTATTGGGCTATTTGTGAGTTTTCTTGATGTTTCGTATATCTAGAACGGTATGTTAGGAATCCATGTAGGATTTGGTGTCTTGAATCGTGCTAAGGGTCCAACCTTGTGATTTGTTGGGCTAATGTGAGTCTTGAATGTTCTTTGGAACTACTTTTGGTTTACCCGTTTGATAAGCATGCTAGTTTGATGTTGAAATGCTAGTGTGTGTGGTTTGTTCCTTCCTACTGGGGTTGGCAACTTGTGTTGACAATCATTTGGTGTTGGATTGTGATTCTTCGTTGTTGAGTATGGTTTCATGTCTTTGTTGTGATCCATTGATTGATTCCTATGATGTGAACATATGTAATCGTTGTACCCTTTGATTGATACTTGATTAAGGTTATTGTTCAACCTTAGTCCTCTTGGTAATGATGATGATCTTGTGTGACTATGATTGAAATTGGTGGTGTGTTACCTGAGCTTGGCTCGCATGTTGGAGGTTGTGTGAATGAAATTAATGGTACCCTCGTGTACTGAGAGTTCAGCGATGAGTAGGAGAGTTGGAGGGGGGACGACGGTCCTCGGAGGCATAAGGTTGGACTCAGATACAGGGTGGCACTAAGAGGTAATGGTTGGAATCGAAATAAGGCCGGGGGTAGCCATAAGGTTGGAACTATGGTACTTGTGACATGTAGTTGTCACTGTGGCATGTAGTTGCCAATGTGTGAATGTGTATTCTTTGCTTATGAGCATGTCTTGATGTATTCTACTTTGTGATAAGTCGAATGTATCTTGAGTTGTATCGTTCCTCATGTTTCTTGTCTTGTTGTTGTTGTAAGGATGGGGATTCCTTTTCCTTTTGAGAGCGTTTGATGAGTCCTTGAAGTTGACTTTTCTCTATGGCTTTTGAAATGATATATACTGTATTCCGTTTCAAAATGGTTTTGATTTATACTTATCTATATATGTTATTTAACGCGTATTAATGGGTTACCAACAATATTCGCTGACCGGGTGTTATCCCCATGTTATGTTTTCCTTGTGCTACAGGTTTTGAGTAGATGCCCGGGAGCGCTAGACTTGGAACAATAGATAGCTTAGTCACCTTGTCTAGACATTATGTTTTGTTGGCCTGTGAGCCTTTTGAGCAGCCTGTGTGCCTTGACTCTTTATGATTTGTTTAAACTGTTTAGTTTTTCCGCCTGTGCATCTTTAGTACTTTAAGATGTGGCATAATACCCCCGTTTAGACTTGCTTCCGCTTAGTGCTTAATGGATGATTCGATTGCTTATCTCTTGCCTTTTAAGTTTTAAAAATGTGGTAAAAATCAAGGGTGTTACAGTTGGTATCAGAGCCTAGGTTTGAGCCTAGGATGTTAGGATTTGAACTTTAAGAAGTTAAGTGTGGTTTAAGACCATAAGATGACCTTTAAGTACTTAAGTGTTTAGGACTAAGGACTTTCAGGACGCGTGGTGAGCTGTGTGTTGTTTGTCGTTTGTTGTGTTTGCTTCGTTGTTTTTGTTTAGTTTTAGCGTTTTTGCCGTTAGCGCTGGGTAAGGGTGCATTGTTTGCTTGTGCCTTCCGTAACGGTGTTGTTTTTGTAGAAATTTCACCATGGCTCCGCCCCGTCATCGCGCCCGTACGCCCGAGACGCCGACTAACGAGCAACTGGCTCAGAACTTGCAACATCTAACGCAAACGATGCATACTGTGACACCCCGTAATCCAAATTCAATTAAGGGATTAATTGAGTAATTAATCCTAATCCAATTGATAATTTAATTCCTTAAATTCCTGAAAATTCAATAGTTAGGGACTAGTAATTGACTAGTCAACCCAAAGTCAAGTGTTGTACCTAAAGCTTTTTTGAGTAGTTCCCTTACACCTCTTCATTTTAGTAAGGGTAATAAATACATTTCACCCTATGTTAGAATTTCAAGCTAACCTAGAGGACACTCCTCATTCTTTCCCCTTACACTTTCTAAACTTGAGCTCATCCTTCTCTCTAAAAGTTAGATAGCTTTTCTTCCAAGCCAAGTTGGAGCTTTACCAAATCCTCAAAGTTTGTCTTCAAGATTCCACCTTTCCTACCTTTGAGCATCTAGGAGGGTAAGATCTATGTTTATCTTGTGTTTTTAGTGTTTTCTAAGGTGTCTTTCCTTAAAGATAGAATCTTTATGATCTTTTGGTGTGTTCTTGAAGTGGGTGTGGAAGGTGAACCCTATTAGGAGCTTGGTGAAGTGTTAAGTGAAGGTTTTTGTCTACAAGAAGTAACCCATGCTCTACAAAATCTATTTTGCTTACCTATATGATGATTTCTTGGATTCTACATGTAATTTTGCTATGAAATGTGAGTGTTGATGCATTGTCTTGTGAAAATGCATATCTAGAGCTTGTTATTAGGGTTCTTGTATGCCATTGCTTGGCTATTCCTTTGATTCAAGTCATTTTGTTGTATTTGGTGAGATTTGGCATGTTTTGGACTTGAATTTGAGCTTGGAGTTGAAAATCCCCGAAGGGATTAATTTTTGGTACAGGAGTGTACCCGCGGGCGGAACGGTGGGTAGTGGCCTACCCGCCGCCCCACCCGCGGGGTACATGGTGGTTTGGGAGGTGGTTCCCACGGGTGGGGGTCCACCCGTGGCCCCACCCGCGGGTACACAATGTTGGCTTATTGGGGATTTGTTCCCCGTGATTCTTTTGACTCGGTATTTGGTCTTTTGACTTCCCGATGTTCTTTTGTGGAACTATTTGAGCGTCTTCTTGATGTTTCGTATGTCTAGAACTATATGGTAGGTATCCATGTAGGTTTTGGTGTCTTGAATCGTGCTAAGTGTTCAACATTGTGATTCGTTGAACCATGGTGAGTCTTGTGTGTTCTTCGGAACTATGTTTGGTTTACCCGTTTGACAAGCATGCTAGTTTGGTGTTTAAATGCTAGCGTGTGTGTTGTTTGTCCTTTCCTATTGTTGATGATGACTTGTGTTAATCATCGTTGTTGTTGGACTGTGATCCATTCCTTGATTGAGTATGGTTTCATATCTTCGTTGTGATCCGTTGATTGATTCCTGTTGTGGTGTGGTGTGTGTAGCTGTACCTGGATTGCACGATTAATGGTATGGGACATTAGTCACCAAGGTACGGCAGTGGTCTTCGTGGTGGCCATGACGCGATTATGGAGTTTGTGACCTGTGTGTAAGGTTCACGTATTTCTTGGGAGGCATGTGTTGCCGCGTGTGTTCGGTACCCTCGTGTACTATGAAATTGGTGGTCTTGTTGGAGATTGTTGGAGTGGGGACGACGATCCTCGGAGGAATAAGGTTGGACTTGGTGTACAGGGGTCCTGGAGGTACAGGTTGGAACTAGCTATAAGGTTGGGGGTAGCCATAAGGTTGGGACCGGGCATAAGGAAGGCATCTCAATTCGTGATGAGTGATGTCACGAAGGCTTGTGTAGCCATTGTGTGTGATTCTCTATTCGTGACGAGTGATGTCGCGAAGGCATGTGTTGCCAATGTGTGTCTCTTGTTCTCTTGTGTTTTGCATGTCGGGTGTTAATTTACTGTGTGATGGTAGATTATGCCTTGAGCCGTTCTTGTGAGTCGTTATTACTTCTCGATGTCTTGGGATGTGTTCCCTTATCTTTCTTGTGAGTGCATAGAGTTTTGTGTTGATCTCTATCTTGGCTTTTGAAATTAATATATACTATATCCCGTTTCGCAAATGATTTTGTATATATATAAACTATCTACATATGATATTTCACATGTATTGGTGGGTTACCAGCATCACTCGTTGACCGGGCGTCGTCCCATATATATATATATATATATATATATATATATATATATATATATATATATATATATATATATATATATATATATATATATATATATATATATATATATATATATATATATCTGTGTTTCTTTCAGGTGCTGATTAGATGAGGGCGCGGTCTAGAAGCTGTTAGAATAAATCCCTTTTTTTTTTATGAAGATTCGGGCCTGCGTGCCTTTGATTAGACTTAGATGTTATGTTGTTGACTTGGTTTCTGAGATTGTTGGATAATGATGCAGATGTTTACGCCTGTGCGCTCACTGTTGAGTGAGCGTGGCATAACACTCTACGTTTTCCATATATTTCATGCTTAACTCTTCCGCTATGTATGCTTTTATGGTTAGAATTATCTGCATGTCTAAGGTTTAAATTGGTATGGAATTCGGGGGTGTTACACATACGCTGAGTGTACACAACAACCATCATGCCCCTCTGCCGCCGCCTGCCGGGAATCGAGATGTGGGACGCCTAGTCTCGGGGCATAGGCCGCCAGTGTTCGCAGGAGAGGAGCATCCCGTGATACTCGAGGAGTGGATCCGGTCCTTCGATAAAATCTTCACCGTTGTGGGATGTCCTGAGGATCGCAGAGTGGAGCTGGCTTCTTTCTACTTCAGTCACGAGGCTGATCTCTGGTGCGTGCCAGACCCGCACCTTCCCCGCCTCAAGGATCAACTCGGGTAGAGAATGGAGATCACGCTAAGGCTTTTGGATGCAAGAAGTGTGGGAAGGACCACATGGGGAATGATTGCCAAGGACAAGCGCTCCGATGCTTCAAGTGCGGGGAAAGAGGCCACAAAGCTTTCGTATGCCCTCTCCAAGCTAATCAGAGAACCTTGCCATCCAATGCGAGACCTAGTGGACCTTCGAGAGGGAGTTCCGGGCAGGGTGCGACAAGGACAAGGTGTAACACCCCGTGTTACGACCCCTAAGATCAATTAAATCGTTGATCAATTACCCAAAAGAAAGAATTAAATCGCAATAATTAATTAGGAAAGACCCACCATAGTCCACGGGCCCTTATCCCGAAACCCAATCCTTAGTCCCAAAAGAAATAGAATTAGCAAGCCCATAATATTAGTTCCTAACTAGGACACCTAAATATATAAATAGGGGACTTAAGAGGCACCTAGAAACCCCCACAAGAATAACGCCCCACCTCCCCGAAGAGCTCCAAGAATCCCCCTAGAAGAAATCAAGAAAGCAAGAAAGCTTAAAGAAAGACCCTTCATAGCCAAGGAATTAATTAAGGCTAAGAGGTAACCCATGTCTCAACAAAACCTATTTTCATAGCTATGATTTCCCCCGTAGGATTTCCCCGTATTATTGTGTATTGGTGACTTGTGATATTATTATTGATGATTGATGGGATAATTCCATGGGTGATCTTGATATTGGGAGATTCCTGATAATTATGGTGTTCTTGATGATTATGTGGAGTTCTTGATGATTATATGTCGTTCTTGATTATTGTATGGCATTCTTAATGCTTATGTGTTATTTGTACCGAATCTTGTAATTAGAAGACGAACCGTATTCTTGTTGATATAAAAGTGATTAGAACCCTAGGTTGTATCGTATGATCTTATTCTTGGTTTATCGGGTGGGGAAATCGCATGTTTGGGTGTTGATTATATTTAGAAAAGCATGATAGGTTATGTGCCGTTCGTTTCTTGTATTTGATTCGTTAATTGTCTACGTGTTGCCGTTAATTGCATTGTAAAGTGTCTAAGCATGGTTTCGGGTTCCACAACGGTTCCCGGGGCGTAAAGTGTGTGAAAAGAGTCAGTGGGGGGTAGGGGACCCGCCACCTACCCACGGCCGTGAAATACCGCCCGGCAGCGGGTGGCCGGCGGGCGGGCAGCCGCCCGCCGGCGACCCGCTGCCCGGAACAGTAAAGTCCTGCGGGTGGCCCCCCACCCACCGGCTACCCGCTGTAAATTATCCCACCTTGGGATCCCGGCTTCCCCGTTTGATGTTCCCCCGTTCCCCGTGGTGTCCCAACGGACTCCGTTTATCGTGCCTATGTCTAGTTTGATATTTCGGGTACCGTTCATAGGTTATGGGTCTATTATATTGCATGCTAGTTGAATTGGTATCCCGTTGACCTAGGTGGAAGAAGCATGAACCCCTTAGGACTATTCTTAGTATGTGAGGGATCACGCATAGGTTTTGTTATACGTTTTCTCCCCTTCCCAACATGTTAATGTGGGTTGCATGTACTTGCTATATGTTATGTGTGTGTGTGTAACCCCGAGTTGGTTGAGATCAATCGGGCTATACGGGCAGTCGGATGGGCTGAGAACCATACCGGCTGTTAACCAGGCTGGTAGAGACCGGTCAGGTATATAAATATTATATAGGACTAAGTTCCACTATACGGGCAGTCGGACGGGCTGAGAACCATACCGGCTGTTAACCAGGCTGGTAGAGACCGGTCATGTATATAAATATTATATAGGACAAAGGTCCACTATACGGGCAGTTGAATGGGCTGAGAACCATCTCAACTGTTAACCA